CATAGTAAAAAAAATTTAATTCAATTTTTTTAATTTAAGTAAACATTTTTTAATTCATATTTCTATGAATGATTTAGATCAGGGCTGCCCACAATTTTTTATGTTGAAATCTACTTTTCAAATGACGAGCTACATGAGATAAACTAAAAAAAAAAACTGCCTCGCTCTCTCTCTCCTGGCTGTCTCTCCTTGCTCTCTCCTGGCTGTCTCTCCTTGCTCATCCTCCTTGCTGTCTCTCCTCTCTCTCCTGGCTGTCATTCCTCATTTTCTCTCCTGGCTGTCTCTCTTCGCTCTCTTGGTTGTCTCTCCTTGCTCTCTCCCCTGGCTGTCTCTACTCTCTCTCTTTCCTGGCTGTCTCTCCTTGCTCTCTTTTCTGTCTGTCTCTCCCCGCTCTCTCTCCTGGCTCACCTTGCTGTATTTTGCAAACAGTGTAGTGCAACAGGCTGTGTAAACGAATATTCTTTGATGTAATACATAGCACTTCAACCCCTAGTATCCACCAGAAAGGTGTCAGGGAGCTTGGCTCAGCAGACTCAGGCTAATAGGTAATCATGTGTTCACAGCTAAATATTCACACCCTTCGAGATCTACCAGTATCAGCTTTGAGAGCTACTGGTAGATCACAATCTACCTAATGGGCACCCCTGATTTCGATTTACATGAATTTATAAGAGCTAGGCTGCACATGGTATTAATACAGAAGTTATTCTAGGTTTATACTACAGACTTAGAGTTTATTTGAAGGCATGCAAAAGATAGGTCTAAAACATTAATACAATGATAAAATTAAGGCATATTTACATTAATTTAATTCAACTGTCATTAAATGGGTCAGATGACTAAGAATAGGCGACTCACCCCAAGTACAATGGATTGTTTGTATTTGTGAAACATTAAATGGAGTCTTAATAGGAACTGTCTCCATTATGAGGGTTTACCTCTAGTAGGTCAGCTGATAGGCAGATTGTCTTTTACCCCTGCACCAAAACAACCCTGTAGTTGGGAAGCTTGAATAGACAGTATTGAAAGTTATGTTGGCCCTACATATAACAATATGATTATTTAATATAACAATCTTGTTGGTGAAAGGATCAAAGGATCAGCTGCATACCATAAGTTTGTAGATATTTTCCTGTCTATGAGTAAGTCTACATTCACAAGCTAGTAACAGCATTATATCTGTCGTACATATACACCGGCAAGAAAACACCGAAATAGACCTGCATGCCCACATTCTGTATTGTGAATTTTCAAAAATGTGACAATTAAAAAATGAGCAAATCAGTTCAGGAATTGTGATAAGTCACCCAAATCTGAATCGTTGTAGATCGGCCATTATAATCGATTCTTGTTATTTATTGCCATTTACTTATTCATGTTTGAGTTTTATGATTCTGAGAAAAGATTTTGTAGCAATTTTTCCCATGTTGAAAGTTCAGCTTTAAAGGACAATTAAAACCTGATGGGATGCAGTCAAGAATGTCAATTTTTTTGATAATGTGTTAGTTCTTTAGCCCCATTTCACCTGCCTTGTGCTGGCAGCATGCTGGAGATCTGGACTGCTGCTCTCACATTGAGGGCAGTGGTCCAGTTAATCAAGTGATCTGATGTACAGTCACACTTACTGTGCTCCAACTAACAATTCCCTGAGTAGCGTTGTTGATTGGAGCATTGTGCAGTGGGGGTGTTGGACCTCTGGAGATCCGGGCTGCTGGGTTGTGTGTGAGAACAGTGGTCTGGACCTCCAGTGTGCTGCCGGCACAGGGCAGTATGATATAGGACTATAGTTTCTGTGCACATTATTTTTCTTTTGAGGCAGCCTTACTGGATTCTATTAACAATAAATAAAGGTTCAATTGGGCGTTAAGTCACTTTTTAAAATGCATTTCTTAAAAAATCCTAGCATATGAAATGATTATAAAATCTATGCTCTGAAGTAAGAAGCTATACGTTTAGTCACATTGAAATCTTTCATCTACAGGTGTGCAGCACTCAAGAACAAAGGATGTGGCTGTGTATTGTACTTCTTGGTAAGCCTTCTGCTTTGTTTTCTATACCTTCAGGGTGAATTATTTTGTAATATGCTCATTGCGTGTGTTTCAGTCAGTGCATTATTAAATGTTAGGTTAGGTAATGTTTGTTATGAAAGACTTCACAGATTTCTTTACAATAAGTAGAGTCAACAAATGTACAGCCTGGCAAATCTAGGTATATGGGCTGCCACCATCATTGCAAAAGATACAAACAGGTGGGTCTTCTGCTATGCTAGTTTCAGCCTGCATGCCCTTGAAAGTTGGGCCAGTGAGTTATGAGAACTGAGCCACAAAATTCTACAACATTTCCCATATGCCCAGGGAGATTGCCAACACATGGTCCATAGCGGGTGCAGGCATGTGGTCATGCCAGAGAACTATATGCAGCTTACCTGCCCTGGTGAGTGAAGTTATGTTGCTATACCTTTCCTTGGTGATCCCTTTACCCCTGTTTACCACAAGGCAAGTAAAGTATTAAAAAGCAAACAGCCTGTAGCCCTTCCCAACACCTGCTGGTCCCCCTTCCCTCCCCTCCTAAACTCAAACATACTGTATGTATAGCCAAAATGTTTCCTTTTTAGTTTTGGATACCGTTAGGAAGGATTTAAACCACTGTAAAATGTCCCGCAGTAACAGTGGTTACCTGGAGAAATAGAGAGGGTGACATGAAAGTGGTCTAACGCTTTCCTACTCTATCCAAACTAACAGAAAAAGGTATATGTACACGTTAGAGTTTGTAGTTTTAGATACGGTAGAGAAAGGTTTGAACCTATGCCTCATCGAATCTTTAAATTTATTTATTTTTGTCAATGGGGCCACCGAAACAGAGATTGGGTCCAATCAGAAGAAGTCGCTGTTTGCATATTTAGAAGATGCTGGTTCCACTGGCTGCTGAATCCAGTAGCCAGCAGAGGAGATTCCAGCAGGGGAGATCCACATAATCTAAAGGTTTATGACCAGCTTATCTATGATACTATGGGATTTCTGGGCTTCATTGCCCATATTCTGGGTAATATATTCATTGATTCTTAGAAACTTTGGAGAAAGACTTTGAAAAAGCTTGAAAGTATGGAAACTGGAGCATGGGAATCTCCACAAATCTATACTCAATCTCTTTGAGATATAAAGATGCAACCCATGGGAAGAATATCTAGGAGGCCTTGGATTCATTTTCTATATGTTTTTCTTTTATATAGTAAATCAGGGAGTGATATCGGAGTAGTCTTTTTTTTTATTTTGCTCTTTGTTGAGGACTTCACCTATCTTTAAATTTTAGGGTGAAAAGCTATTGAGACTTCAACATCAGAATCCTGTGAGATTCCCCAGGTCTAGTTTTGTTTCTCTGATTGATGATGCTTCTGGCCACAGCTAGGAGAATGCAATCAGAAGTCATGTCAGTATTATATATACAGTGGGGCAAAAAAGTATTTAGTCAGCCACCAATTGTGCAAGTTCTCCCACTTAAAAAGATGAGAGAGGCCTGTAATTGGCCTGTAGATGATGTCGATTTTGAAGACAGTGACAGCTCTTAGTTTTTCCTTCTGTAAATATTGTAATGTAATGGTTGTTACATATTGATTCTTTGAAACAAAAGCATGATTTTCCTTTTCTTAGGTTTTCTGTCCCTTGCGAATGCACAGCAAGATTGTGCTCGTGGAGCATGCTACCCTGCAGCGGGAGACCTATTGATTGGAAGAACCAATCTCTTAAGAGCTTCATCAACATGTGGAATGGAGAAACCGGAATCCTACTGTACGCCCTTTGGAGAGGTATGTGCAGTGCAAGCTACACTATGCTTTTATATTAGAGGATTTAAAACTGTGATCTACGTCCGCTTGTATATTGATAGCTAATGTTTTGGGGGTAATGAGCAAGAAAATAAACAGGCCACTAAGCTGTTTATGTATAACGACTAGGTATGGTTATATGAATCTCAGCTGCGGAGTTGCTGAATTTAGGAGAAGTGTGTTTGAGGGTACGGTATCGGGGGCGAGCTACAGGCGTCACTCTCAAACTTTAGCGGAGAGTTTGGAGCTCTACCATCATATACCGCAATTCTTTTTTAGCAGGTGGTGCACAGCGTTGCCCCAGGTTATTTCAGCATACCAGGGTGCAACAGTATAGGTGAGGAAGGAGAAGGAACAAATAATAAGTGGCTTCCAGTACCGGAGTATCAACACAAGATATAGTAACAATTCCCCTATAACTGATGAGACTCAGGATTCAAATGAGGAAGTCCATTCAGCATGTGAATAAAGTCAATACAATCTCCCAAGTGAGCACTGGACTGTGGACTGGATGCCCCAGACTAGTCAGTACTTGCTATTTAGATGTCCAAGTAGATCAGAGTAAGTGGGGGGTCCTTGCTGCACACACATCCTATGATCCAGATCCAGGTGTCAGCTGGCGTTCACTCGCAATAGTGGAACGCCATACTGATCTCTCTTCCGGCCTTTTAAGGGGAAGGAGTGTGGGCGGAGCTACCCGCGTCAGAGAGCCGATGCGTTCCACACTGGAGCGCATCGGCGGATTTACTTCCTGCTTGCGGCTTGCGTTCCACTGCGGAGCGCAGCCGTGATCGTTACATTATGACAGGATCATCCACGTATATAGCATTTTCATATATGCCTTGTTTGTTCATTCAGGAAAAAAATGTATGCAGTAAAGATGTTTTCAAAAAATAGGTAATCTTTATGGTAAAACATTCCCTCTTAAGGTGACCTCTGCATATGCATTTTGTTTCTTCTAAATGCTTGGTTTAAATTTTCAAGAATTGTGGCTTACTTTAGAGCATACTTTAAACCTAAGAACAAAAAAGTAATATGTTGCAGCTTACCAATGATGTGGTCATCACAGCTTACTTTGAATGTAGTCACTATATTCGTTTTCGTTTTATAAGCTTTTTACCTTAATTTTCCCTTTCCAACACTTCCTGTCTTTGGTGTCTCCGCTCACTTCTTCACTGTATCTTTGTAGGAGCGGTGTAGCCATCCTTTGACAGCATTGTCAACCTGTGGAGAAGGTAGTGTTAGATGAATTAGTAGATAACTATTTGAAAAAAAGATAACTATTGTAAGCACCTTGTGATAGCAAGTTTCACTACTATACAGAGCTCCATTAGGTTTCTGTCACTTTCTGTTCTGGGGTCAACGTTCGCTACCTACTTGCTATTAGTGAAGTTAAACTGTACTGCCCACACAGGGATATAGAATAATGGAGTCACCTGGGAGAGGAAGGTGTTTGTGGTGGAAATGCATTGATGCTGGAGGGGACTACTTTAAACACTCCTCAAGTTTGTCGCTTATATAGTTTCTCCGTATCTCAAAAAGTTCAGAGTTACCCTCGTATGGTAACATTAAGCAAGGCTTTCCTCTCTTATTTTCATAAAGATTCATTATAGTCACCAAGCTTGAAGGATATATTGTTTCATACAAATGTCTTAACAGAGTAATATAACTACACTCCAAACTATGTCTGTGAAGGAAATTATACTGATATTATATGGTTTAAAATGAGACTGTTAATTTGTATAAGGTGGAGGAATGTGGTCTGCAACATTCAGGGTGTTTTTTTTAGAGGTGACACAGTATGGTCATTTTAAGTAGTTGTGTTGACTATGTGATGATACATTATTTTTCAAAGTTTTGTTATTTGGAATTAAGTTATTTATGTATTAAGAAAAGCTGCTCTTGGTCATTTTATAGCCTCTTCTTGGGACTTTTCTTATAGCTCAAAAATCAGTTTGAGGGCATAGCATGCCCCTACTTAACTTAAAAAGCAGGTTCACTTCTGTCTGTGTTGCTGTTAGAAAGATTTGCCCTCACTTTCTGCCCTGAGGATAATGCTTTTACCAGACAAGACTAGACAGGAAGTAAAGGAATCTCTCCAATTGAGCTTCTCACTTCATTAAAACCTGACAGGAGCTGTAATCCTTGCCCACTCTATCCAAAAACTGTTTGGGCTATATATGCAGCTTAAAGCCATTTCCGCCTTTGCGGAGGTATTTTTAGAAAACATATGCCAGCAATGTACACCGAGTGTATATGAAGCAGACATATGCAGTTTCTGTATGTTAACACAGAAACTTACATTTTATGTAAGCTTCCATCTACATATCCTCATGGAAATGAGCACCTCTGTGCTTTGCAAGCAAACTGTGTATATTACAACTGAGCTCTCTCTGAGCTCTCCACCCCCAGTCATTACAATACATAGTGGCAACCCCTCCTCCCCGAGAAAGTGTGTTGTGTGCTGAGGCAGAGCTGGTGCTTAGTGATCGTGTTACACAGAATCACAGGGAGGGAGTCAGCTGTACAGCCTACTGTACAGTCCAACCCCAGTGTCGGACTGAATTACCGGTGGAGAAAAATTAGAATTTTCAGGATTGTGGCCTAATAGAAACTTCATAAAACATGAAGAAAGCCTGCAATATGAGTCAAGCAAATGTGCACATATATACATCATTACTGCACCTCTACATTACAACAATAAATGCTAACCACTTACAAAGGTTGAAATGGACTTTAAGATTTCATGGCTCCCTGCTTAACTGTTTCTATCTTAAGACTGGGCCTGTTGTCTGCTTGTATACAGACTGCTACTTCTTAGCTCTGAACCACTGGACTGTTCAAAAGGGACTACTTCTGTCCCTTTAAAATTTACAACACAAATGTCAGTCTGGCTTGGCAGCCTGTCTGTGTAGGCCAAGGCCTCCTTGACCCGCACTCCCCATGTGTCAGACTTCAAGGTTCTCTTTCTGCACATGGGAGCAAAGACAGGCTATAGAGAACACTCTATTTTGTGGGCAACACCTACCTATCTGTAATCAATATTACACCTGTTCCAGGACCCTTTTCCTGCTAAATCTTGGCGCATTCTTTTTACACTGTGACAGACTGTCTGTTATAATGCATTGGGAAGCAGAGTGGCATAGAGGTTAGCACTTTTGCAGCACTGGTGGTCCAACCCTAGTCAGAACACTATCTGGAAGGACTTGGCATGTTCTCCCTGTGCTTGCCTGGTTTCCTCCAGGTACTCCGGTACTCCTGTTTCCTCCCACACTCTAAGAACATGTTGGAAGGTTAATTGGTTCCTGTCTAAATCGGTCCTGCATGTATGCATGTGAGATAGGGACCTTAGATTATAAGCTCCTTGAGGGCAGGGACTGAATGTCCGCTGTGTAAATTTCAGGTGCTATATAAAAATACCAGTAATAATACCAAAAATTGGACTTTTTAAAAAATAATTAAACTTAAATTCTTTCCATATTGAATCAGATCAAAACAAAATATACATTGTCCAGCAAAGTGTTTTCTTAATTTTTTGCCCAAGCACTTACACTCATGTCTATGTTTACAAACAGCTAACCGCTGGCTCCAACTCTGTCAGCTCCACTTCTTTGAACTTCCTGCTGTGTACAAGACCACAAGGGACAGGACAGTCTCCAGCAGCTGTCCATCTATTAACTTGTAGTTTACTAGCACACACGAGGGTGGCTTCATAGAACCCTTCAAGGGAAAAGAGCCACCCCAATATAGGATATAATGGCCAGTGCTCAGGGGACTAGCTGTTTCTGTAGGAAACTAAAACTTTTCAACATCAAGCATCCAATGTAAGTGATTTAATAAGCATTTGACATAGTTTAAAAACCTTTTTACTTTAATATCACTATACGTGATCTCTAGTTTCTGTTATCTTGTATTGTACAAAAAGTTCTATGCGTCAGGTCCTATTCACACTACCTGCCACAAAGCCTGGCAACACAAGTTACATGCCATTTATTTACACCTCAATGTAAATCACGGCGGTGCATTGTGATGTGTGACGAAAACCCTGCATGCTCAATTTTTGGTCCCTTCTGGTGCACTGTGCAGCCCATTTAACGCCTGGCAACACATAACACAACGCACGTTACCTTATGTTAGTTCAAGGCACCTCATTGGACCAGACTGGTATGAATGGGCCTTCTGTATTTTTTAGACAAGGGATGAAAAGTGGTGAAGACAGTAATGTTAAGGCATAGAATCCTATTTGCGTGCTCAGCATAGCTATTTTATAATATATATGATTTTCAGGAGGTGAATCTAACATTTTGGAAGTATTTTTTTTCCTTAAGCCTAGTCTACAGATTACAGATTCATTTCCAATACAATATTTTATTTCTTTTTATTTTTATAAAGAGATCTAGTGCCTGCCTTTGCCCAGGATATTGAGACAGTGTAACCTCCCTTTAACCTGCCGCTGTTTGGCAAAAGAGAATGCGTGTCTTTGGTTTTTGAAATCTAGCTATTGTCAGCAGGTCCAATTTTAACAAGTGACCTTTCATACACTTACATAACTGGATAGTTGGTGAAGTTTTAATACTGGATGTGGGACTAAGGCATTGGTTTTGAGCCCTCCTAGCAAATAAAAATGAGGAGTTCACAATGAAAATAGCTCAGAGGGCACTGCCCCTTGCACAGAGTTACAAGGGAGGAACTGCAGACTGGTTTTGTAATATATGTCTGGTCTTTCTGACCCTTGGATTTCAATAAGAAATTACATCTTTCCCGTATGCCTGGTTTTTAGCTGGCAGTTGAATTTTCAAATGTTTTATACTGAAACCATGTTACCCCTACATTGTCTATTCACTGCAAGTAAATTTAAAATAAAATGGAGATAACAAGCTTTTTGGGTGGAAAATTATAGGCTAAGCTGTATGTAGTATTGTTCTTACATTTGTTACTATACAGTTCAGGTAAACAGGCCTATAAAACATGTACTAATGCAA